GGATTTGATTATACCCTGAATAGGCATCCATGAAGCTTAGGAGTTCATGTCCAACTGTGGAATCCACAAGTTGATCTATCCTTTGGAGGGAGAAGCTATCTTTTGGACAAGCTCTGTTCAAGTTGGTAAAGTCAACACATACCCTTCATTTCCCACTAGGTTTCTTTACAAAAACTGGTTGGATATCCATTTTGTATAGGTGGCCTCCCTGATAAAGCCATTATGGCTTAGTTTGTGAACTTCCTCTTTGAGCGCCTCATATCTTTCCAGATTGAGGGCTCGCATCTTCTGCCAATGTGGTACATAAGTGAGGTTGATATTCAAGTGGTGACAACTAACCATTGGGTCTATTCCCACCATATCTTCATGTCTCTATGCGAAAGCGTCCAAATTCCTTTTAAGGAAGTTCATTAATTCCTTTTGATCTTAAGAGGCAATATTTTTCCTATTTGCAAGACCTGAGTGGGGTCTTAGGAGCTGGCAGGAAAAGTTTCAAATTCTTTCATTGGGGTTGCATTTGGCTCAGACTCGATGATTCGAGGATTCAGTTCATCCAGAAGGTGCCCTTCTTCAAAAACCTCGATTCAGGGACGTCAAGCATTTCTATATCCAGATTGGCTTCATCTGCAATATCAGATATAATGACATTTATGTGTGGGGCTCAGACTTTTGCAAAGAGTTGAGGTAAAATGATCTTGAGCCTATTTGGTCACCTCGAACCGTGGCAACCCGATGCTCAGTTGGGAATTTCATACATAGGTGGTGAATGGAAGTGATAGCCCAAAGTTTCTTTAGGAAAAGTCGGCCTAGTACTCCATGGTAAGCTAATCTGTGGTCCACCACTAGAAATTCCATGAAGTGGTAGGACACTAGGGGGTTGATCCCATTTCAACAGGCAAGGTGATCCGTCTTCGTGAGAAGATACTGTCACCGGTGAATTCGTATAGTGGGTCGATCATAGAGATCAAGCCATGCTCAATTTACATTTTATCAAAAGTTGAGCCAAACAGTATGTTCACCGAACTTTTATTGTCAACAAGCATGAACTTAAATCTGTTTCGAGCTACTATGGCTCTTACTACCAAGGCATCACAATGAGGGTGGTATACACCTTGAGCATCTTCCTGGGAGAAAGTGATTGGGGCCATTTTGTTAACTTCTTGGGACTGGTTAACAATGTAGCTAGTCATTGGTGGGTCATTTGCGTCTCTTGTATAGTTCCTCTGTATTAACAATGTAGCTAGTCATTGGTGGGTCATTTGCGTCCCTTATATAGTTCCTCTGTACATTCCTAGTGCTGCCTCCAACGTGAGGACCTCCAATGATTATATCAATTTCACGAATCGGTTCACCATCAGTTGCTTGAGCCTGACTTCTTTATCTAGACTCTCCTCGAGTCCTATTTTTTGTTTCCTTTCTCTTAGGTTCTGGTCCCTTTGTCATCTCGCATCCTTATTGGGAGAGGTAGACCACCTCGAGGATCGCGGGTTACTTCTCTGTGAGGATCGCAGAGTGTCTTTACATTCACTGGTGTCGTAACGAAAGAACCGATGATAGGTGCAATATTTTTCTCCTTCCAAGGGCTGATTTGCCTGTTTCTTCTTACGTCGATTTTTGCAAGGCATCCCCCCTGATGTCTCTACTTTAGCAGTTGCATCCTCATATACTAACACTGGGACGGCGTTTAGTATAGCAGAGGCCAAAGCTTGTCAGGATGTGGGAGCCACTGTGTGCCCTGCTTTGGTCCATTGCTGGGTGACGGGGTGTGCTGTCGGTCCTCAATCTACCTGTCTCTGAGGCGGAAGGAGTCCTTAAGCTACGCGATTCTGATGGTCAATCATTTCTTCATTGAAGATCTTCACTCTCATCATCTCTACTGGTTCGTCATAAGTAGTAGGATTTCTGCTTCGCACATCTCGCCAAAACAGGGTGTTCATGTTGAAGCCCCCCTTCAGAGCTGAAAGAGCCTCCCTATCTATAACTTGTTTGCAATAAGTTATCTCATCAATAAACCTAGCAAGGTAGTTTTTGAGTGTTTCTCCAGGAGCCTGCCTTATAACCTGGAGGCATTGCACTGGGCCTCTCATTTTCTACGTGAGAGGTATTGGTTCAAGAAGGCCATCTTCAGATCTGGCCTACTCATAATGCTAAGCGATGGTAGTCAACTGTACCACACTTCGACAGCTTCGGTAAGGGTCAGATGAAAGGCCCGACATTTTAATGTCGGTGAGGTTCCCCTCAGGTTCATTTGAGTCATGTATTTGGCGAGGTGCTTTTATTGGTCTCATTTTTCCTCATACTTCGAAATTTTAGGGGGCATGAAGTTTATGAGCATCGAGAAGCTTCGAATTTCTCAGGAAAAAGGAAGATTGTCGTCATCGTCGTCTATCTCATAAGATCGACATGGTTCCTTTGAGTCCTGGAGAGGTGAAGGTGCTCTTCCTCGACTCCCCCAGTCTACTAAGTTCCTTCTTTCATGCCTATTTGTAGGCGGAGGAGGTGTTTCATGCTCTTCTTCTTGCTCTTGTTTAGCTGGTCTTTGTACAGAGCGGACCCTATTGCTAGGGTTTTGCCATATTCGGTTGAAGACACTAACTGACCTCTGTGGCTCGTATTCTGGTGGAAAGTTTTCTCCCAGCTGTAATTCTGCCACTGAGTGCCTTGTGCATAAGAAGTGACATCTACTCCCACTTCTTTTTCAATGGGGTGTTCCCGTTATTAACTCAAATGGCCTCGGCCATAAGACGCATGAATTTGTTCTTGGGTTGGGTAGAGCCCTTGTGGCATTTGAAAGCCTACTGGCCTTGTGCTTGCATGAAGAACTCGTGCTTCTCAATATTTTGGGATGCGATGTCTCTCAAACCTGTAGCTATTTGAGTCATTCCTGTCGTGACCATTGTTATCCTTTCACCTTGACGACACAGGTGATGGGGTCTGCAGTGAGTGACATTTGTCCGAAGCACCTCTTCTTCAGAGGCATCCCTTAGTCTTTCAGGATTTGCATCCTTATCGCTAGAACTCATTATTCCACTCATTTTTCAAGGGTGTTTAGCACTGGATCGTGGATAGTGACATGGATTCTTTTTCAAGAATGTCCCTTTTTCAAGGTGAGTTACTGATTTTTTGGTGGCTTTTTTGGGTGGTTAATGGAGAACTCTTAAACGGAAGTTCCCGCAGACGACGCCAATCTGTTGACCTCGCAAATTGGTCCTTCCACGTGGCCAACCGAGGGTCACTCCACGTGTTCCTCCCTGTGCACAGTAGCAAACGGTGAGACGCACACGGTCGGAACCAGCGGGGGTGGTGGCAGCCTCATACATTCCTACGATCAAGTCAATGGATGGTAATCGGAGCGGTGCTAAAATTGTACAAGGGTGGGAAGGAGAAAATATTATACTTGTGTATGGAGTGCCAAGTATTTTAGAGTGTGCTTCATTACTTCTGTCTCTTGTCAAACCTTTGGTATTTATAGGCAAGAAGCACCATTGGATGTGGGACACGTGTATGCATCTGACGGTATGAAGCGTCTAATCGTAAGTGTCAATCAGTTGCTTCTAGAACGAGTGGGTAATTAAGTCTTCTGAGTTGTGAGTCGACATAAAGCTGAGATGTCACATCAATCAATTCATGAAGATAAAAGAGGATCCTGACACAAAAATATATCTCTGAAACTAGTGGCGGAGAGGCCTCTGTTGCTAAGTGCCTCGACATTCCTCACACTTCGGTAAGAGGAGACGCCTCGGCAATTACTTGGGTTGATGCTTGTGTCTAGCAGCATGTTAGTGTAGACATTCGAGCAAGGCTAGTATTACTTCGGAATGCCGTCAGATCACTTCGATAGGACACGTGGTACCTTTCTAAGGAGTAGTCTAGACGTGCCAAGTTGGATTAGTGAGGGGCGTAACACAAATCAATGTTTTTAAGTACTTAGTCCATTTAGAAAGTCTTTTTCATCACATGACTCGAAAAACTAAGAACAAGCCTTAGTCTAACTCATGAATCACCCTCGATGAAAAAAACTCCTTTTCTAAGAAGATATAAAACATTTTGATTTGTCTTAATCAAAACAATATAATGGGATTTGGTTTTTATACCTTTTATGTTGCCCTTATCTTTCTAACCCCTCTCAAAAATCGATGACAGTCGGTAATTTTCACATTGATACCAAGATCGGTAGATGGGATTCATCCCACCGAAGCAAATAAGAACTTAGAATCCAAAATTTAATCAGCGGGGCAATAAGAACTATGAATTCAAGTGACGTTTGAACATGGGACCCCACGGTTAATTAGTGGCTCAATAACCCTCTCTTTTGAGTCAAATGATCAAGAGTGTGATAACTATGAATTAAAATACATTACCAAGGATTTTAATTTACCATGCATTCATTAATTCTATATAACTTATTAACATTCTTTCAAATAATGATATTTAGAGTTAACCAGTATATCAACTAATCTATTGATAATTTGAATCCAACTTTACTTTTCCATTCACTCAAATTTATTTCATTTATCAATTTCGTCAAGTGAAATCCAATTAACAAATTAAATAATTACTTCTACGTGTAGTGCTACGGCTGTCATCATTATTACATTGCCGGCTTAATTACTAAACTGAAAAATAAACACTGTTCTTTAAAATTAAGAAAAAAAGATCTATGTAATAGTAAGTTTATTTCAATTTTATCAACAATTTTACCAATATTCACTAGCATAATAATATGTTGATTTATTTCTTGAAATGGTATATTTTTGTTATGCATTAATTGATTTCCTTAAGAAAAATAAATAGCGTGTTAAACGTTTAAACGTTTTATTTTTGGATTAGAGTCATACCCGCCTTTCCCTTCGTTCATTTCTTAACAAACATTTTCTTGTCTTACTTTTTCCATTGAGATCCGATCATCTCTCAGTTGATGCCCGCTTTCCATTAGCTTAATTTTATGAACAACATATTATTTTTGCCTGTAAAGACCAAATGAGCGCTTCTTGTCAACGCCCGTCGCCGCCAATGGGCCTCAGCAGCTTCAGAAACCCAGTCACATGCTTGTTTATCACCATGTTAACAGTCTACGTACTTTACTCTTCCAAGCTTATTCTTCGTAAAGACGAATATCCCAAATGTTCTTTACAAACTTCAGACGTATCTGCGAAAGAAAATCTTCAAACGGTTCTTCCTCAGCCTGTTAACAATTCTTCTGATGGAAGTAAGAAACAAGAGCAGCCACCACCGGTGCAGCCTGTTATTACCCCTTATACGACCCCAGAAGGTGATACAGAGATTAAACACGTCGTTTTTGGGATTGCTGCATCGTCAAATTTGTGGGAGAAAAGGAAAGAGTACATAAAGTTATGGTGGAGACCGAAGGAGACTAGAGGGGTGGTATGGTTAGATAACAATGTGAATGCCAGTAAAGATGAAGGCAATTTGCCTGAGATTCGGATTTCTGGAGACACGTCGAAATTCCAGTACACAAATCGACAGGGTAAAAGATCAGCATTGAGGATTTCTAGGGTTGTTTCTGAGACATTAAGGTTGGGAGTGAAAGATGTGAGGTGGTTTGTTATGGGGGATGATGACACAGTTTTTATTATTGAAAATGTGCTGAGAGTGCTTTCTAAATATGATCACAAACAGTTTTATTATATTGGGAGTTCTTCAGAAAGTCATATTCAGAACATATTTTTCTCATACGGAATGGCTTATGGTGGAGGGGGATTTGCCATAAGTTATCCATTGGCAAAAGAGCTGGAGAAAATTCAGGATGGATGCATACAAAGGTATCCTTCATTATATGGCAGTGATGATAGGATTCAGGCTTGCATGGCTGAGCTAGGGGTCCCACTTACCAAAGAAATTGGTTTTCATCAAGTAAGTCTAAAAGTTATTAAAGTCGAATAGCAAATTTTGTTTTTTAAGGTATATAACATTGGATAGACTAGACAGTACTGTGTTTTTCTACATTATACTGTCTTGAGTGCATTGGAAAATGTTATAAGTTGTGCATTTGGCAAGTTGTGTATATAAGTTGGAACAACATTGTAAATTAGAAAAATGAAGACTTTAGGAAATAACACCCCGCCTTACAAGATTTGTGGCAAAAGGATAGGCTCGAAAGACTCGGTAGGACGAGTTTCTTATGAGTGAGTTTATAGGTGCTTTAAGTCGAGTTTGGGGAAGGGATTCTTTGAAGAGAAGCTTGATATGGAATAGGGATGAAACGAAGCGTATAAACTGTCTCAGTCTTAGTGGCTTAGCCACGAGCATTTTACTGTCAAAATAAAGCCCTCTTAAAGATGGTGAAAGACCCTTGCACAGGAAATACAGAGCATTCTTGGTTTGGCATATAAATCCAAAAATTTCATCCTTATTTATTTTTAATTTTTTAACTTTTTTCTGGCAGTGACAAGAATAACAGTCGGAGAAAGCCACTCTGACTTCTTTGTTAGCAATTAAACCAGACCAAGCATGCTCCTAGATACCCATTGTCATTATAATCACTGTGCAGATAATGCAAGAGCAAATGTATCAAATTATAAATCGGAAATCATAGTTAGCAGTCACATTGCTTTGATCATAGTCATTTTTCTTCAATGACAATGCATACATTTGAACTGAATCTGTTTTTATACATTTAGTCCCAGTGTGACAATCATTAAAATAAGCTTTTTTTTTAGGAAAAATGAGTCTTGAAATAGTGAATTTTTGATAAATGTGATTAGAAAGTAGGAAAAGTTTTTTATTTACGTGCAGAATATTTTATCGTGAGAATGTGTGGTTTATAATAAGTTTGAAAATAAAAAAAGAATTGTGTCAAACAGCGGCTTAGTAGGAATCTCAGACCTAGTATTTGCAAGTACAATAATTATTGTTCTCTTGAAATGCAGTATGATGTGTATGGAAACCTATTAGGCCTCTTGGGAGCTCACCCCGTGGCTCCATTGGTGTCACTTCACCATCTGGATGTAGTGGATCCAATATTTCCAGGCAAAACTCGAGTTCAGGGCCTCAAACACCTGTTTGAATCTGTCAAGCAAGATTCCGCCAGCATAATTCAGCAATCAATCTGTTACGATAAGCAAAGGTACTGGTCAATCTCCGTCTCATGGGGCTTTGTCGTTCAAATCATTCGAGGAATCATTTCCCCAAGAGAGCTGGAAATGCCAACACGAACATTTCTTAACTGGTATCGAAGAGCTGATTACACGGCATATGCATTCAATACGAGGCCTGTCAGTAGGCACCCTTGCCAGAAGCCTTTCTTGTATTACATGAACACAACGAAATACGATGAAAAGAGGAGACAAATAATTGGCGTTTACAACCGTCACAAGGAATCATATCCGTATTGCCGGTGGAAAAGTGAACCACCTGAAAAACTCGATTCCATAGTCGTCCTGAAAAGGCCTGATAGCAGCCGTTGGAAGAGGGTAAGTTCAGCACTTGAATGTGAATCTTTTCGTTCAATGATTCAATACCAAGAACTAATTTTCATTGCAACTAACTGAATCCATTCGGTTTTTGCAGTCACCAAGGAGGGATTGTTGTAGAATTTTACCTTCGAAAAAGAACTCACCTATGTACTTATGGGTCGGTAATTGCAGAGCAGGTGAGATTAACGAATTGTAATGGCAACAGTAGAACTGATATTCTTTCACTCCTCCGTACTTCCCTGGGGAGTAATGGCAGCGTAAGAGCGAAATTGTCAACACCAAGGACGTTATTCATGGAAATCAGCACAGAAGGACAAATATATTCATCTTTATAACACAGAAAGCACATCAAAGGAACATTCAGAAATGAATCAATTTTCAATGTCACTAACTAGATTTAATATATTCTTTTTTTCATTTTTCATTTATTCTTTTTTGTTTTCTTTTTTTACTGTGTAAATCAAATTTGCAATAGGAAGATTTTAGTTCATTTTGTTTCCACTAACATTGACATAATGTTGAACTAACATGTCCTGCTGGTACCTGATTCATATAGGAATAACAAGCCTGTGTTAGGGCTCCATTTTTGAAAGGAATGGATTTTTCTCTTTCTTATTTTCAACTACACAATCTTCAGTAAAATAATGTCAGCCGTAAACTCAAAGCATTTTCTTATTTTCCAATCATGCGTTCTCCAAACATCACTGTTCTAAAATCCATTTTTTCCCAATCTATTATTAATGAAGTCCAAACAAGTGCTAAATTAAAATTAGATATTGGTGTTCAATTGCATTGATAATTGCATAAATTGGGATCAAAACACAAACAAATTTCGTAAAACAAAAGGAAATTTTTTTTGAACGTGTTCGACAAAAAGTCTCAAAGAACTTACGATGTTTCCACTCCATATTTGAACTACAAATAAATATATTGATACATATAATCTTCGTGTAAAAAAATTTCAAATTGCATCGAAATTCGGACACATTCGAGATGAACGTAGCATGGGAAACACAAGGGGCTGTCTCCTTCTCTTTCCCATATTTCTTCTACCTGAATTCTCGACTTATGCTTGAATGTTGTCTGGAAATAGGTAAAGAAATTTTTTTATTGATGACTTGGAATGAGCATATACAATGGTTTAGATAGGGATGAACCCTTCAATTAGTTTCCTTTAATTTGGCTACATAATCTCCTACAATTAGAAAATATCACCAAACATTTGTACATACTAGCAAGCTCTAAGAGCGGAATGATAATTACAAGAAACCTTTGACTCAATCTCATCGCTCCCCCTCAAGTTGATGCATAGATATCTCAGATTCCCAACTTGCTTAGAAATTTTGATGACACTTGCTTTGAAATTGTTTTGGTGAGGATATCAACTAACTGAGCTTCTAATTTGATCTTAGGCAATGACACAATCTGTCTATCCAACTTCTCCTTAATGAAAAATCTATCTACCTCATCATGCTTTGTTCAATCATATTGAACTGGATTATATTCTACATCATATGTTTCTTTATTATCACAGTATTGTCAACTGATACTTGATCAACTTCAATACATAACTTGAAACCTTCTACTGGTATATCAGCTGTTTGACATGCTGATATTCCAAGCTCATGTAATAAACCTAAGGCATATTTTCTTTGAGAAAGGAAGATTCATTTACTAGATCGAGAAAATTCGATGCCAAGAAAATATATTGAAAGACCTAGGTCTTTCATTCCGAACTCTCTGAGCAAGTACTCTTGTAAAGCCTTCATTTATTCCATATCATTTCCTCGAACCACCATGTCATCTATATAAAACGATGAGTTCAGTAATCCTTGCATTTTCTTCATGAATAGAGCATGGTCTGAATTGCTTTGTTGATAACCAAAGGATGTCACGGGCCTTGTGAATCATCCAAACCATGGTCTCGAAGATTGTTTTAACTCATATAATATATTTTTTTAATTTACGTACAATGGCACATGTTTCCATATAATCAATTCCATAGGTTTGTGTATAGCCTTTCACCACATTGTTCCATCTACTTTGTACTTTACACTGTAAATTCATCGACATTCAAATGTTTTCTTTCCTGATGGATGAATAACAAGTTCCAAATTTAATTTAAGTGGAAATCAACAATTTAACGATATAAAAGCTTAGTGATATGATCCGGATTTCACCATTGATAAGGTCAAGACCATGTATTATTAATGACATCTATGCATACCAAAAAGGAAATGCTAGAGGAGACTCAATCCACTCCTTATTCAGTAATCTAGGTGGTACAAAAATGTTCCAAGCTTTAAAGCGTTATTTTGGTAAAAAGGCATAAAGAGGGATATAGTTGAGTATGTCGAAAGGTATTTAGTACGTCACTTAATATCAACGACGATCAGGGTTGCTTGAACCATCAGAAGTTCTGAAATGAAAGTGAGAGCACCTAACGATAGATTTTGTGGTCGGTTTCCCAAAGTCAAAAAAAGGTCATGAGGCTATTTGGATCATTGTGGATCGACTCACCAAATCGGCTCATATATTATCATGGATGGCATTCTCAAACGATCAATTGGCATAGTTGTATGTGAATAAGATAGTAAGGTTACATAGTGTGCCCCATTTCAATCGTATCAAATATATCCAAAGTTCACATCGAACTTCTGAAAAATCTTACACCAAACTATGCGAACTAAGGAAAAATCTAATACGGCTTTCCATCCTCAGACAGATGAACAGTCTGAGCGAACAATTCAAATATTGAAGAATATGCTTCAAACTTATATCCTTCAGTTTGGGGGACATTGGAAGAAAATTTCCCTTGATTGAGTTTGCATACAACAAAAGTTATCATACCTCTATTGACTGGGCACCGTTGAGACCTCAGTCGCCAAATTCGATGATGAAATTGTGTACAGATTAATTGGGACTACATTCTACTAAAAAAGTGTCGGATCGTTGTTAAGGAGCCGCCGTCGACGGTTCGGTGGTTGCGTTTGGCAGCACACTGACCTCCAAACTCAGAATTTGTTGATTTTTTATAGGGTTGCAGAATTTCATGCTAACATGGTGTTGAGGCGTGCTATCGGGGATGAGATCGGTAGCAGTCGAAATTTGAGTTTTCGCAGCTAGTTGGGAGTTCACGTTTGGGGCGATTTGAGGTGTGTCTGGCATTCGATCAAGTTGATTATTCTGTCAAAGCATCGTCTCGTCATGGGCAATAAAAATATCCAATCTATGTAGCTTATTGTGTAGGTTTGGAGGATCATAAATTGTATGAAATTCGAGGTTTTGATACCGGTCGAATTGGATGGTGCCGAAACTATCCCATGGGTTTTGGGCCTTCTAAGATCATTAGTGGTGGTCTCATCACAAGTTTCTACCCGAAAGGTGCTAAATTGACTGCGTTGGAATATGTGCCTATTGTATTTTGATGCAAATCTGATCCAAAATCTTCCAAATTTGCTGCTGGTTGTTGGAAACGTATATTAGATGTGGTTGGGGTGTGATGACGCCGATTATGATGGTTTTTTCCGATGGCTTTGGTCCGGGCCGGTCCTGTGATCTTCAGGGCTTGAGGCGAGCTTCGTAAAGTGGGCCCCCAAAACCATCGTAGATTCAAATTCAATAGTGAATTATACAACCTATTGTTAACCTAAAACTAACCAATAAAACAACTTTTTTACTTGATTGTTAAAAAGACACATAACTTTCACATTTTTTTACTCTTTGAATGTTAATAGTTTAATTTTAATCAAAAAATAAATAAACATGCCCCATAAGAGCAATATAAGGATTTCATTTCATTAACCAGCAAATGGCAAAAAAATGACACTTAAAACAATAATTTGCAAAAAGAAAAAAAAAAAAAAAAAAGGAAGTCATTCTTCAAAAAAGCCGATATAAAACATGACCAAAAACATTTTCAGGAAAAAAAAATTTGCAAAAATAAAATGGGAAAATTTCTTATTTCATTCATCTATCATATGGATGCAGTGAAGCTAATTCACCAACAAAATTTACATCGCTAGAGCAGATAAGAACTTAGACATAACATACCCATAATCCACAAACTCATTTGCCGAAAAAATGGGATAGGCCAGAGACAGTAGCAGTCTGGTGGAGGACAACAATGCACCGGCGGCTCACATACTTGGATGGGGAGCTGCTCACCCACAATTTCAGATTTGGAAGCCGAATAGCCAATAGGGTTTGCAATTGCCGATTTAGGAGAAGTGATAACGGGAGAGAAGTTGCCAACATTTTAACTTATTATCAATTCATAATATAATGGGCCTAATTTAAAAAAAAAAAGTCCAAAATAAAAGGTCACAATCTTTAAAAAAAAATGGCCCAAGTAACACATCATCTTCCTTTCTCCAACTCCAAGCTTCCAGCTGCAACAATGGCGACTGCAAGTCTGCAATTAAAGGGCCAAGGAAATGAGGCCCCCTATGGTTTTTGGCCTAATGCGCAAGCCTCATCTGCCTCGCCTCAAGATCGGCTCTAGCTTTGGTGGTGGATCAAGTGTGTTATATTTTTTTTTTCTCTCTGTCTTCCATTCTAAAAAGAAAGGAAAGCATTTTAGAGAATTATCACTCCACACCCCCAAGGGTATCATCTTCTTCCACAGTGACCCTATCATTTGCAAAAAGCTCACATAACTTGTCATAATTATATACGAGCTTGTTCTTCCATTCTACAACATTTGAATTTGACTACAAAATCCCAAGAAATTATGCTTTTTATGGAAGTTAGGTTAAAAAAAATAAGAATAGACATCTTGATCCAAACAAATATTCTATAAAAATATGTTACTAAGAGAAAGAGGAGTATATTTTATGCAAAACCTCAATAAGTTTGTCCCACACCTAGGGTTCGGCGAGCCAGGTTGAATTAGTTTGATCACAAGCAAAACCAGTCAATCCATCCTTAAACACATCATGGCAAGTCGACCAAGATTTCTTGATGTTTTTCATGTGATTTTGGATCGTGTCCTTGTCCCATCCAATGTGTGGAAACTCTTTCTTTATTGTTTGCAATATTTTCTCAAGTGTGTGTGTTGTGAACATCCCTCCCAGCCTATTGCCTTCCACATGCTCACGCAAATAAGCTTCAATGAGGATTATTATCCATTGATTTGGTCTAGTGTAAGTGTAGCTCTTTCTTTACCTTTGGAGGAATAGTTCTCCTGAAAAGAATGGTTCCACAAAAAAAAATAGGCTTCAAGTCATTATTTTCTGGGCCAGTTACGGAAGAGGTAATCTCTAAGCATTAAATTCACAAAATTTGCTTAAGAGGTAAATCAAGAAACAGAAACAAATTCGAACAATTAAACAGAAATAAAATTCCACA